TAACTTCAAGCTGCAGTTGCATGGAATGCGCTGTAATTTATGAACCTTAATTTGCCATGCAAGTTTGTATGACTTGCAGAGGTGAATGTCCCACTTGAGGATGTTTGCAGATCAGTGGATCTAGCCTCCCGGCTGCCATCTTTGGGAGCCAGCACTTCAGGACTAGTGAGAGCAGACATGATGTCATGAAGCGAGGGTGTGGGGACCCGGCGTCATTGTCTGATATCGACAAGAGAAGAAGGCACCCTTTGACTGGGCGAATGAATGTCTGTTAGCTAGGGCCGCTCTGAACAGTCTGCATTTTATCAAAGTTTTCTGCTGAAAGGCCAGTAACTTAGGGAAACTCTCATTCCCCATTGCCAGAGAAATCTACTGTATTCACTTCTGACTATCTTGAGAGTCAAACAAAGTTATGCAATAAACGACTGCAGTGTATGTTTAATTATATTTTTCTACACCTCAGCTTCATTTCAATCTTATGTCTCCAGACTGCCAGTTGGAGAAAAACAATCTCAGCTGAATATGAATAAATTTTGGTCAGGAGTTGCTTTATCAACTCAGAGATCGATTTTTGCCCCATCTCTTTTTCCCGGGGTTGGATTTAAGTTTTGGAGTTTGTGGGGGGGTGGGGGTGCAGCTGATCCTGTCACCTTCCCCATCGTATCTACACGACATGCACATCTGGGTCAGTGCTGGTCCGTGCTGATGCCACTGCACCCTCCGATTCTTCCTGCGGAGGCAGTGGTGTGTGTGGCTGTCCCTGCCACACCTGCCTCACTCTTGCCAGCATGGAGAAACATTCTGTAGAAACATTCTTCTGCAGACTAGCACCTGGTATACACTGGTGTGGGGGAACTCTGTGAAGCCTGATGCCTCCCTAGGCTCTACTTTAGATAATGGTCCCTTCTGTGTTCCAAACCTACGTGAGGCTTTTGTTGGACAATTGATACAATATACAGAACCCATTTTTTAGGCCATACGAATATCTTAAACTAATATCTTAGATATTGCTGCCTTTTGAGCTTTCTTCTCAACTTGGACAGTATTTATCTCGTAGAATATATATGGAAGAAGGTGGATGAGTCATTGACTGGTTGATTGTTTGGAGACTTTTAAATCTACTGTTAACACATAAGTTTATGTTCTGGTTAAAGCCTACTTAAAATCCAAGCTTCGAAACTCAAAATCCCCTTTCTCATAAACCAATATTTTTGAGCTTAAAAACCCTTAACTTTTTATCTCAGTAGCCAAGAATATTTTGTTCTCTTGCTCAGCACTGGTGTTTTTGCTGTGATAGCCCCGCCCTGAGTTAATGCGTTCAAAGGTGTAGTCTGAATGATGAGAAAGCCACAGGTGATAAAACAAGAGCAACAATAAAATAGTTTCGGTGGACACAAAAACATACTGATTAATATATCAAAATAGTAACAAACAGTGATTGGTTTCTCTTTCATTGCTTTACAAGATCAAGCCTATTGTTTGAAAAAGTCTCAAAGAAGAATAATATACAGGACATCTGGGTTAGAGATTCTTTCTCCCCTTGGTTTATAAAAAACAGTAACATTTTTAGAGTCAAATCACATGTGCAATGTTACTGGTAAATAAAATTCCGAACCGTATTCTCTGTAACTTTTGACTCTGATTCTGTGGCTTCACAAAGGGACTTGATTAGTTGAAGCCCATACAGCTTTAGATAGTTATTTTAACAGTTTGAATTTTAGAAAAGTTCTCCCAGATGAAGTTCGTAATTATAAGATTGACTACATGTGTGGATTGCCATGGTTCTCTGGGATACTTGCCTTAGCTCTGTTTATTACTTCAAAACTAGAGTGCCTTCCTTTTATTTTTCACATAAAGTCTGAACAATTTAACACAGCACTCAAGGACAACCACTTGACTTGACCATTCCTCTCTAGGCTTTGCTTTCACTCTGTGCCTTCAGGAAGCGGGACCACAGGGCCCATTGATCTGCTTTCCTCTGAAATACTTCCGGAACTTTTTGGACTCCGTGAAGTGACACGACCTATTTCCTTTGCTAGGTGGCACTCTCTTCCTCATCTGGTGCTAGGACCTCTCCAGGCTCTCTCATACTGTTCTTAGAAGGCTAGTTGAAGGCTACTCGGTATTACAGATAATTGCATAGTAAAAAGAAAAAGGACCATGTCCAGAAGAAGAAATGTGGTGTTTCAGCCGTATTTCAAATGTCATGGCAAAGCCACTGAAATTCTCTGAGCTTCAGGTCAGTCTGTGGACTTCGTAACTGCCCTTGCATTGTTTTCAGTCTGAAGTGTACCGGCTCGAGTTTTCTACTCCTTGTGTACAGAAATCAAGTCTCAATTTTCAGTAGTGCTTTGTATTCAGTAAATATTTGCTGAATCAAATAGAATGGCAGATGAGAAACAAGAAATTTATCACTAAGTCCGGTGGCATAACCGGGGAAAATAATGGTAAGTTTAGTTATTTTTTTATTGACTAAATAAATGTTAATGTTAATAAACCCTCATTGACAAAGGGTAGGTGAGCAGTTAGCTATGGGCTTCCCTTTCCCCTTCCTCCATCTCTGCCAACAATTGTGATTTCTTTCCCTAAAACTGCAGCGTAAAAGTTTGAATACTCTTCTTTTGTACTACTAGGGAAAGGTAATATATAGTAATCCGTAGCAAAGAAAAAAGGCTGAAGATTAACTAGTAATTCACGTTTCATTTGATAAGCTTCTGAATAAGCTCAGAAAGCCCCACCAGATAAACACCAAGTTCGTCACTTTATTTCAAAGAAGATAAAAAATACCTCCGGTTCCTTGACAACAGTCTAAACCTTTGCGGTGTTTCAATAAGCGGCATTTGGTGTTTTAGCGCACTGCCACAGCTGTATGTGGGTAAACAGATTATCTTTCTTGGAGGGGATAAAAAATAAGCTTACCTCTATCCTTGTTAGCCCACCACATCTGCTATTCACTTATGTGCTCTTTGCTTGTGGATACCTGAAATAGTGAGAAAGAATAAAAAAAGAAAATTAAATATAACTCGACAGCATTTTTGCAAGGCAGACATTTACAATTTTAATTGAGGACAGACACACACTTCATAAAACTATTAGCATGCAACTCCAGCTGCAAAAACTGAACAGCAGTATGCCTAAGCTGGTTAGCAGCAAAAAAGTAAACCAATCACATCGACAAAAGCCACCATAAACAAAAAAACTGTATTTAAAAGATTAACAGTTTTGGCATTCATCCCTACCATCAAGTCTTTCGCTCTCTTTTTCCATCAAAATTTAGCTTACGTTTGATGCTAGCAAGAGTTGCATTACTATTATTGTTAATTTTAGTTCTGTTTATTGCCTTGAGGGTTATATATTGTAAAATAATTTTGGTGCCTCTAGTTAATGTTAATTAGTTGTTTTAATAACCTATAGACCTATTTGTTATGTTTTTGTAGGTTTACTTTTTTAACTATCAGGAACTTAATAACTGAGAATATTTAACATTACTGTTGCATAGGCAAAATTACAGAGTCACTATTAGTGTTACCTGTTTAACGTTTAGTCATCCTTTGAGTCCTGCGACATATTTCCTTAATAATCATCAGCCATCAAGTCTGATAGTCTCAAAAGAAATATCAGCGCTCTAAACTGCCTTCAAGGGCGGTGATATTTAGCACTGAAAATTACAAATAAAGTTTTTGAGGTTGAAGAGCAACAACTGGCCAGTGACACTGATGATTTGTTTGTCAAAACAAATTGTTATAAACTACGCAAATGAAGTCCACGCACTCCTTTGAGTGAAAACAATAAAGTGAATCTACGCAATGCTTACATGTTGGATGGGATATTTAATGTGCGGGGAAACTCAAAGGTTGAAGAACTAGGCATTTAGACAGTGGTAAGTGGTAATCTTACCTCTTTATACTCCATTACTCTTTCTCACGAGAGACATGCTAATGCAAACAAGTCAATCAGAATTTGTGTTTAGCAAGATAAAGCTTAGAGGATAGTTTAAAATCCATTTATTATTCTAAATCCATTTTTTTCCATTAACATGTTATACATTAGTGTTTACTAACCATGATTCATGTAACAGTTTAGTTTGTTAACTTTTAAATTATTTAACAACCATAAGTTATTAATACATTTTTTAAGTATTACACAAATATCTTAAAACAAGCTTGGGTTCATTTTTGTAATTTTTAAATAGAAAACATTTTAGGCATCTCTTGAAGAAGAAATAAAGCAGGCATTTAAAGCTAGAAAACAAGTAATTCCAAATTTAGTTTTTACAAAAGTTTTCAGCTTTATTGACAAATTATGGCAAACATATTTGACAAATTGTGGTTTCCTATTTAGAGTAGCTTACACATGGAACTTTATGTGTGTTTTTTTTTCTTTTTTAACAAATACAGGTTAAAACACTGAACAAATTCAGTTAGCTACATACATACAGTAGCTGCTTGTTTTCAACTCCATTAAAACAGCATTTAAAATTAAATTTACAAACTTAATATCGAACATCTTCATCTAACTAACAGATATTAAAAGACAGGTTAAAACATCTTATCTACAACTTTATTATCAGCTAGTTCAAAAATCATATTACAGTCTTTTAGCAACCCTAAACAAAGTTTTTGCTAGATGATTGAGACTCAAAATCTGTTAACAGATTCATGCTCTTTCTTAAAAAAAAAAAAAAAAAGAAAAAGAAAAAAGAAAAAAGAAAAAAAAAGTTTACACACAACAATGCAAAACAACTAAGAGAATATCATCCTACTGAATGGTTTATAGACAATGCTTGCCAATGTCTTTTTTAGTTCATTTTGTAAAATAATACTAGTGTCAATGTCACACCAACAGTATAGGGGGAAATACAAGAAATATATGGGAGAAATCATGAGCAGTTATCCCTAGAATAGAAAAAAAAAAGGACTATTACTTGTCTTGTTGCTGTTTATGTGGAGACCACAGGCTATGAATTGTCTTTGAGGTGAGGTCACAGGTGAGAAGGACCTTCAATATCTACCATAGGGGTGCTCCCTGTATCCCCCTCTGGCTGACCTTGGTGGTGGTGCCTTCAGGCTGGAGCGGGTTGTGGCCCATTCTTCTGGTGCTATGAACAAGAGAAAGACAGTAACATTCACGTGGCTTCACAGTTACCAGAAACAGTCATTTAAGACGTAAGAGTTGACCAAGGAAAATAGAATAAAAGATCTCAACACTGAGGGCTAAAGCCTTACTACCTTTTCCACATGGTGAGATCATCAAAAAAGTATATATTTTGAAATGCAGCCATGTGGAATTAAACTTGTGGGGCATTCTTCAAAGGAGAGAAAGTTGAAGTCCCTGGAGTCTACATTTATTATGTGTAAAATTTCGTGCCACAGAAGAGAAAGAGGGTATCAGTGTAAACCGCTCCTCATTTTATCCTTTATACAGAGTTCTAAAATAATCCAGTGGTTCCTAGTCTTTGAGTAACTTGAGAATCGCCTGGAAATCTTAAAATAATACAAAACAAAACCAAAAATGACTAATGCCTGTTCTCTGTCTCCCAAACCAAATGATTAGAAAAGAGACCTGGGGCTTGCTATTTTCCAGTGCTCCCCTCATTGGTTTGTAAGTGGGACAGGGTGAGGTCCTTGTGCTAAATTATCTTAGACAAAGTTAGTAAGAGATAGACAGGATATGGAACAGAGTAAATTTACGCAGTAAAATCAACAAAAGAGTATGCTCACATCAGTTTTTACAAATACCTTGAAATAAAGGGGTATTTGTACATTAAGAAAACTCATTCACCTGTTAATCAGATTTCCAGTAACCTGAATGTTCTAAAACCTAGCCAAAAACAAAACAACAACAAAAAAAAAAACAAACCAAACCAAACAAACAAACAAACAAAAAAACATACACAAGAAACAAGCCAACAAGCTTTTGAGTGTTGTGGAAAATAGCCTTTATTAAGTTTATGACCCCAGAAAAGGAATGTAGTCCTCCTTGAAAGGTCCAGGGACTTAATATGCGGTTTATGGTGGTTTCTTATGTAATTCCTGAAGCTAAGTTATTTGGGTTTTCCAATCCAAATTCAGTTTTCATTTGAGAGCAGATTTCATTCATGGAACTATGGTGAGAGGAAGTATGGACATAGAAAAAGAGATTGATAGAAAGAAACGCACTGACACTGACGGGCAATACAAAGGATAGTGATAGTAATGGACATAAAACTGGAAAGAAACTGCAGACTGAGACCAATTGATGTAGATAGGGCATGTGTCCCCGAAGAGTTCAAGTGCCCCTAAGAATATTTTGTACACAGTTCAGGGAGATTAAGGAAAAACAATAATTAAAATTTATGCTGCACTCACTATGCTATACATAAGGCCGAGGATAGTGATGTGCAATATAGAAAAATAATAGAAGTCCATCAAACAGGAAAAAATTGCATTAAAATGTTTTTGGGGGGATATTCTTCATCAGAACTTCTTTATTATTATTATCTGATAATAAGTGAAAATATTCTCTCTGCTATTTAAGGTACATGCTTAAGTTTATTTCAGTATTTGATAGGACATAAAGTAGAAATGAAAACTTAAATAAAAATAGGAAATACTGCCTTTTCTCAGAATACTGATCGACTTAGATCAGGGGCTGGCAAACTATGGCCAGTGAGCCACACTGGCAAGCTGTCTGTTTTTTAAAATAAAGTTTTAGGAAATGTAGGCATGCTTATTTATCTGCATATTGTCTATGGATGTTTTCACTCTATAAAGGCAGAGTTGAGTGTGACAGAGACCATACTGTCTGCAAAGCCTACAATATATAGTCTAGGCTTTTACAGAAAAGATTTACAGACCCCTGCTCTAGATCTTGCTGTCTTTTTGGCTGGAGATTGTGGATGTTGGTCTTTCTGATGTGATCTCTTAAGGATGGGAATTTACCCCTAAGCTGTTAGACTTTCTTAGCAGACAGATCGCGGAAAAGAATTCTTTGTGTTTACTTGATTGGAATTAAATAAAACTTTTTAAAAAAATGTACTGGAAGGGAAAATGGATTCTGCTTGCAAAACTAGCAAATGCCTTCTCAGCCTTATATAATACGAATTTTACACTTCGCCTATGAATGATCAAGAATATGCCAATGTCCTTGTCCTCTGGTGGTAAAATCTACCCCATTTTATTCATGTTTTTAACAAAAGGAATGTAATACTTTTTGCTTTATTCTGTTCTAGAGTATTAGAGATACCCGGTTGTAGTCTATGGGATTTAGAAACTGGGATAATAGAAGTTTCAAGTTTTCCCAGGGAATGGAAGTCTTGGATCCTTTCTCAGAAGCGTAATGTTCTTGGTGGTTTCTGTAAAATAGTGCAACAACATGAACCAGAATGACAGCAGGAGCTGCCACAGCTACCCCAGTTTCATCAGAATTTTTAAACTGGGGGGGTACCTGAGTGGCTCAGTTGGTTAAGTGGGTGCCTTTGGCTCATGTCGTGATTGTGGGGTCCTGAGTGGGGCCCCATGTCAGGCTCCCTCCTCAGTGGGGAGTCTGGTTCTCCCTCTCCCTCTGCGTGCTCTTTCTTTCTCAAATAAATAAATAAATCTTCAATCAATCAATCAATCAGTCAATCTTAGAAAGGGGGGACAAGACACTTAAAAAAAAAGAATTTTTAAAATGGCATAATCTTGGGGACTTGCCCCAGAACACATTGTTTGATAAGAACCCACTGATTTAGCTTTACTAGGCTCTATCTAAAGCTCTAGGGCAGCTAATTTATGGGCTAAAACCTTTCATTTCCTAACTTTTGGCTAGCATTAAAATGGTGACGGTCACTATTTTCTGCTGTATTCTCAGTGCCTGGAAAAAATGCAGTGCCTAGAAAAGGTTGAACACAAAGTATGCATGAATAAAGGATGAAGGAAGGAAGGAAAGATGGACAGAAGGAATTGTGAGACAGAAAGAGCTTTCAACGACAACCTTAAAAACAGTAATATTTGAGCTGAAGACATTTGACATTAATTTTAGAAGCTTTATAACTAGAAATATTATATATTTTAAAGTCAGATTTCTTACTCAAGAGGTTAGTTAGCTAAATAACAAAAGTATTTCTCAACTGGATTTCATAAAACAATCATAGTGGAATCCAATTACGAAAAAGTGCAAAAGCAAGTCTCATTGCACAAAAATGTGCTCTTATAATTCTCTGTAGTAAATTCATACTGTGTTCTTTCTTCCTTGCTGAAGGCTAGAAATGGGAAATACTGTTTGTCTATAACTGTAACCAGAAAGGCAGCCAAAATGAATTCCTGCCCAGGTGAAAATTGTAGATTTTTCTAAGATTCCTTACCATTAACAGAGGAAACAAGAATTTATTTCACTTAATTCATATTCTCAATAATAATAGCAAATTGAGATCAGGAAAGGTATTAATTTCTTTTTGTGCCAAATTTCCTTGGTCTATATTTTTTCTAATATCTGAATGTTTATAAATAGTCACATGTTTACAATTACCACATGATAATACAAGCCAGTTTCTTTCAGTGAAGTTATTTTCTTTGGATCTAGACTGGAGAGTACTGACTCAATGGAAGTTTTTCCTTCATCATCTTCTAGTGTCATTGAGCCTTACTTATATGGTCAGCCAGTCCCCTCAGTGCCTGACATAGGATTTCTCCACCATGGTATTAGAGATAGAAGTGATTCTTAGAAATCCAAAGAAGTCCTAATGTAAGTCCATCATAGAACCTAGCACATGGGAACAGCTTAAGCATAGGAAGAGACAAGTCATTATCAGGTCCTTATGATGGGAATCCCTAAAATTTGAAGTATAAAGCCCCCAGAATAGACTAGGAAATTGCCTGTCTTCTTTGAGCTCTACTATTCAGCAGATAAGATGAATTTAACATATTTTAGGGAGAGGCACCTCACACAGTTAAGCAACTGACTCTCAATTTTGGCTCAGGTCATGGTCTCTAGATTGTGAGATCGAGCCCTGCACTGTGCTCCACACTGGTTGTGGAGCCTGCTTGATTCTCTTTTTCCCTCTCCTTTTGTACCCCCAACTTACTCTCTCTCTCTAAAATGATAAAATAAAATAAAATTAGATAACATAAAATAGAATAATATATTTTAGGGATTCATACAAATTTTGGAGTCCCTGACAGTGGTTTCTATTCCCATGGTATGGTATAGGATGTCATTTTAAAAATCATTACAGACAATGAAATTTAGAAGTAATCTTTCTTCGTCTTCTTGAAAAATAATAAAGGATGTAAGATGCCTTCAGTATTAGGACCATTGTCATATGAGAAGCACCAGCCAGACTATGAATGTGAAATAGCAAATTAGATAACAAATTATCCCACAGAGAATGTGCAAAATAATTGCCAAGTTGAAATTACTGGAATGGTTTACAAAATTGGGGATCCGGAAATAGAAAATGAGGATATAAGAAATAGCTTCAGTGACTTGATCAAATTCCCACCGTTTCTAGGTTTCCCAATTCAGATTTTAATGTACCATTTGGTATATGAAACAAGGAGGGAAGAAGGAAAATAAAGCATTCATTAAATTTTTTTTTTTCCTTTACTAAAGATCTCCTATATGCTAGTCATTGTACTAAGCCCTGAGTATGAGGATACTAAGGGATTTTTAGAGATCACAGGACAAAACTACTATGAAATTGCATAGATTAAACACATTTATAATTGATATTTGAAGAAAATGCTGGGGAAAGCCTAGAGGAGGGAAGTACTAATTTCTATCATTCAACAGAACTTGGATTGAGCTCTAATATCTAATCATCTCAAGGAAGTAATTTTCTGAGCAAATATACAGTGTAACTAAAAATTCAGGTACTGTTTAACCTATTTAAGAGATCTCACTTTCTTTGAAGACTTTCTTATGTTAATTATTTTGTATCACCCAGGCTTGTTAAAATGGATTCCAAGATCTATAAGATCTGCCCTTTGGTGACAGACACATAGGAAGAACACCTCAAATATTTGTAAGCTTCATTTAAATGATGATGTTACTAACTAAAAGGAATCTTGAAATCAGTTCTGAGAAATAAGTACAACAGAATTCTTATTCAGAAACACATTGTTTGCAATTAGATTATAG